GACTGCTCAGAAATTAGTGTTTTATGCTACATTTGAGTAATCCACTAACATACATGGGAAAGATGCATTATTTTTGTGGATGGGTATTCAACCCTAACTTATCCTGTTTCTTGTTGACTTAGAGCTTATCTTGGCAAATATATCATCTGGCAAAGAAAAGTCTTTCACATAATATGAAATCATATTCAGCTCAGTAAGAGTAAGATGATGTGCATGGAAGTCCCCCACTGTATTACAACTTCTTTAGATAATCCTTTTACATTACAAACTCCTCAAGTTAGAAAAAAGTTGTTAGGTTGCTGCCAGTTAGCAAAGAGCAGATGGTGTTTATTACTGTGACCGGCAAATTGTGTATCTGTGGGAGTGATAAGCCCAATTAGCCAAATGTTGATTGTGCTTTTAAGGGTTGTAGTCTTGGTACCTATTTCCATACCTGTGAGTATGCTCAGTATAACTTCTTTGTGCACTATAGAAAAAGCTCAGCGGTACACTTCTGCCTGAATTGTTGGTATTTGTATAAATACCATTTTAGATGTTGTCTTGCAAATGAGCTAGTCTTAGACACAGAATTCCAAGAACTCTTTATTACTTTGTATTTTATTTTCCTGTATATAGTAAAAGCTGACTACTTCAAGCTTGACTAGAATGGATGTTAAAAGCCAGGTGGCTTTGTCTCCTAAAGAATCCTCTTGCCCTTCATTCAATAAAATACAACTCCAGTACAAGGGAAAGTCATGTTTATCTCAGCATACTCTGCAGTTTTAAAAAATCCTGCTCTACTTCCACAGTTTACCAGTAAGGAGCAGTGAGCCATCAAAGAACTTCCCAACCTTTTAGAGGCATGAGTTGGGATCATGGTAACTCTGACTGGCAGCCAGTTTGCTGACATCTCTAACCCCTCCCCAGCAGAGACACAAGAAGCCTGAGAACCATTCTTGTTGGCCCTTGGCCTTCACCACTGCCCCAGCTGAGCTGGACAAATTGGGACAACCTTAGGAAGAACAGTGCAATAATCCAGGTTGCAGGACAAAGACAAAAGCCAAAGATGAAGTGTGACAGTTCTACATAGAACTGTAGAATTGTTTGAGTTGGAAGGGAAGATCACCTAGTTCCAATCAGCCTGACCGTGGGCAGGGGCATCTTCCACTAGGCCAAGTGGCTGAGAACTGCATCCAGCCTTGCTTTGAACATTAGGATCCTCTTTCTCTTGTCTGAGTTGCAACAGCAGGGTACTGCACTTACCTTGAGTAGTAATACCCTCTTTGATATCTGAACCTGATTATTTTAATAGCAGTATTTTCAGCAGTCACTTCCTCACAATCCAAATAAGCAATAGTTGCTACATACTTGACAGCTCTTCAGGGTCAAGATCATGTTTTCCTGCATGGCTGTGCAGTGCCTGGTACAATGAGTCTCTCTGGATACCTCTGCAACTAAAAAATAAAATCTTTGCAATTAACAACTTATTAATTGAGGATTTAGTATAGATCTACAGCTTTAATTTGCTCCTTGGCTTTTCCTCAATTGCCTCACCTTAGATTTAAAAACAGAACCACATAAAATAAAATGCTTGGGTATTTTACAGATTAGCAGACTTTAATAAATGACACCACAAATGCATGCATTACCGGAAGAGTGATTCAAATTTTTCTGACTTAAGAAAGTTTAACTGAGTAAGAGTATATAAGACACCAATTTTTTCTTTTTATCAGAAAATTTATTTTAATTTTAAGGCTCATTTAAATTGCTACATTTGAATGTCAGAACTTGTTACCATAATTCTGACAGAAAACTGCTAAAATGGAAAGTGAGGGGATATTTTTCCTATATCAGTGTACACTTATATCTGGAAGATTTTTGTCTGGATTTGCTGACCATCTGTTTCATGGAGTTATGCCAAATATATCTTTTTACTGTAGATTTAGATGCTTGCAATTAGCTAGCAAATAGCCAGACAAGTGTTGCAGCATCCTCTTCAAGATTACTGTATATACCAGTTCCCAGCACTTCTCAAGATAAAAGAAAGGTGTAATAAAACCCCATTTATTTCTTAGGTAAATCTAGTCACAGTAACTTTAATAATTCTAACTTTGTTAATTAGATTTAATTTATTCTTGAAGTGATTCCACTGATTTAAATCAGAAATTAATTTGGCCTAGAGTTTTCAAGAAGCTGTGTTTTGCCTTTGAGCATTTAATTTTTCTATGCACAGTCTCGCTTTGGGTTATTGTTCAAAGCCTAACACAGAGATGAGACCCAGTGAGCTCTGTAGGAAAGGGCAGCTTGCTCCTTTTCTCTTTTGGTTCTGGGACTGCTGCAGAGACATTTCTGTGATACAAGACCATAAGAAAGCAGTAGCACACGTTCTTTGGAGTAGATCTCCAGGGTACATTCATTTTCTGCTTCTGCTGCTTACTGTCTGCTGACATGCCCTTCTAAAGTAGAGCCCTGCAAAGGTAGTCCTACCAAACAGGTGTCTCAGAACCTCTTCTGCAAGAGACAGCAAGCATCACATCACATTGCTGTGGTACAAAAAGAATGTTGCATGCTTATCTGAAACACTAAATTCATTTTGCTAAAGCCAGGTTATTGAACAGGGTAAGCAACTACATATAAAAGGAGACAAACCTGGCCTCTGCAGAATCTGCTGAATAGAATAGAATAGAATAGAATAGAATAGAATAGAATAGAATAGAATAGAATAGAATAGAATAGAATAGAATAGAATTAGTTCCAGTAGGATAAGACCTACAGTACTCGGTCCAAATGCCTGACCTATTCAGGGCTGACCAAAAGTTAAAGCATATTATTACAGACATTGTAATACACTTACAAAATGTTGAGAAAAATAAAATTTGCCTTCATAATAGTCCAGTACTGCCTTAACATGAAGTCTCTTGTGCATATTAAAACATGACACACTTTTAAAATAAATGCTGTTCTAAGTTAAATGATCTATCAGGAATCCTAGAATAGGACCTTAATTGTAGGCAGGTCTCAATCAGTAAAATTTTATTCAGGCATGACTTTGTCTTCTTTTCTTTAGAACAGGACTGAATTTAGAAAGATTCTTCCCCACCCCTTACCCCCATCCTGCTCTCCATGAAGAAGGACAGGGTTTTGTGAGGATAAGTGGCTCTGAAAATGGAATGACACTTTGTGTCTCCACAAAGGGACTGATAGCAGTGGTGGACAAAACACTGAAAAATAATAAACCTGTTTCATGTCATCAAGCCAGGGCTATTTCTGTTTTGCTGCCTCTTCTAGAAGAAATTAATTTCTTCTCACAGTTCAGGGCTTTGTTCTGTGTTATCTTACAGCTGGAAACATTTGTCTTATCCCATTCGTTATTTATCTAGCTTTTGTTACTGCTTTTGGGCACCGATCTGTGTATAAAATAGAAACAGTCACACAAATGTGTTTTTAAAATGGTAAGCATATTCCTTGATTTTGGTTGGAAAACCCTATTAAATTAGATTTTATAAAGTAAGAAGTGTTGCAGCTCTAGTAGAAATGTATTCAGGCTGCATCAGACAGGGAAACAAATATTCTTCTAAATGTAAACATGCATTTTCTACCAGTCACTGTACTTACCTTGAGGCTTGAATGCTGATGCTATACCTTAGATTTGTTATACCTGTGGTGTGTTGTCCTGAGAGAGTTTGAACAGAAACTTCGATGAAAACTGAGGAGCCAGAGCTTTGGCTTTGGGCACTTTACAGTCTGGTTGCTTGTGCTTGAAGTGTGAAAGTAATCAGGATGCAGATAAATCTGCTGAAACTGTGTGTATATATTGGTTGGGGAAGATGTTGGAGATACTGGCTGTAGATAAAGGAAAGATCTATTGAGCTGTATTCTCTGTCAGGGTTTATTTTGCAGAGGAGAAGGTTTATTGCACAGCTGTTGATACATGAAGCATCATGTGCATTTGATTATAAGTAAAGCATCTCCTGCTTTCACCTGATCATTTTTCCCTGACGACATGCATCATCTCCCTCAGACAAATGATAAAAAAAATTTAAGAAAATAATATGCAAAATCTCTGCCATAAACCAAGAGGGGTTTCTGCAAGCAAATAGAAAGCCTAGCTTATGTTCATAAACATGATTGAAAAGTTAAGCCACCTATAAAAACATCTAGTAACACAACAATATTTTTCAAGTGGAAGTTTGTTTTCTCCCTAGCAGTGAAAGCTTTCTGTTAATATTCTCTCTTCTATATGTCAGCATTTCTCAGCTATAATCCCCTAATATGACCAGATACTATCCCAGAGACTTAGAACTACTATTATTCAGAGAAAATTTGTACACATGGCAGAATTGGATTGGATCTGAGATTGCAGAATAAGATCTGCAGTTACAGCTGCTGTACCAAGAGTGTGTGATTGTGGGCAAGGCTCACCATTCTATGCAGTCCAGCTGCCTGAGTTTCCACATTTTCCTTCACTGTCTCTGTGCTCAGGTTGCATGTGCCTGCCTGTGGCTGTAAGTGAAACCTAAACTTTCCAGTATTAAAATCGGTTCTGCCCAGCATATCTTCATTTAAAAAAGCAAGAGAAATGAAGTTGTGTTTCAGATTTCCTAAAATTTCTGCTGTTCACTGAAACATCCTCTTTTTTATGTGCTGCTTTTGCTTATATGTGAGCATAAAGTATATAATTTTTCACAAGTTATTGAGTCAAAGTTACTCTACCAGTACTTTCATACTTTGGGGGGTTTTGGGATTGTAGATTGTGCTGAGAATATCCAGTGGCTCTGGACATGCTGGGAAGAATGAGCATAATAGTAAGATGTCAGATATAGTGCTGTGGCTTTTCTGCAACTTTACACAAAATCAAACTAAGAGCAATTCAGTTTTTTATTTGTAAATAACTGCTTCCTTCCCGATATGTGTTTTGTAGATAGTGGATGAAATGTGTCTGTCTGCTACAGAATCAATAGAATTAAAATCCCCAGCCACTTATTTCCTGTGAAGTGATTAAAATCCACTTACTGCATAGCATGGTCTATGCTGGCCATACTGCTCCTTTGCAGCAATATGTCAAGGTAATGATTATACAGTTTATGAAGTGCTTAAATATAAATAGTCAACATAAATCTTCACAGAGTGTATTTTAATACTTACATTCCATTCAGAGAACAAATGTAGTCAAGCTTTGGTTGGCCTTCTCGTAGTTTCCTCTGAAGTTACATAACATTACAGTTCTTTCACCTTTTGAAGTTTTTTCTTAATACTAAGAAACACTGAAAGGAATGCAGCAGGATGTGGTTCTTGTCTGATTTGTAGTGCATATGTGTCACAAAAGATTTGGTGGTGTAACTTGTGACACACTCCCTTCCACATGTAAGAGGGTCCCTGCAGAGAAACAAAAGCTCTGCTGTTTGCTCAGCCATCCCTGATAAACCTTTATATACATGTATATATAAATAGGTGATTTTTGAAATCTTACTTCTATCAATATATTAAGTCTACAATCTAGTATTAAAGTTCAGTTCTTGCCATTTCTTCCTCATTGTTTGGTTTATTTTCATACAAAATTGAATAATGAATTTGAAGCCAAGTGGCTTCTTCTTGGCTTCTTCTAAGCCAAGTTTTCTCTGGAAGAGGCAGAGCAACAGTTTGAAGACATAGGATTGTTGATACATTGATTGGGACATTGACCTGAATCCTACCCTATTTTGAAGAGCTGATAACTTTTATTAAATCAACAGGTAGACTTGGAAAAAAGTAAAAAAAAAGTAAGATTGAAAAAGCTGGTCTTGTTAACAAAAACATGCTAAAATCATGGTAAATTTTCCTGCAAAGGTTATCACTTACTACTTTCCCCATGACACATTATCTTGCGGAAATCAATTATTTTGGTTTAGGTGGCAGAAGATTTTACCGTACATATTTAGTTTTCCTGTGATTACATGCTATTTTCATAGATGGTTTAACCAGTATATGACAGAAGTTAAAATTTATTTTTAATTACGACACTGGACTAAAAGCTAGCTTGGGATTTGGAGCATCTGGCATGATTCAGAGTTTGTGTGTTTTTAACATGACTGATTCATTTGTGTTGTTATATTCTTGCTGGTTAAAGTGAAAACAAGAATATTTCCCCATTTTTTCCATTTTTAAAATAGAAGGTAGTGCAAACCAAAGTATATTATAACATCTTTATAGACTTTTGTTTGTATTTTTGACAGCAACATTTTCTTGATTGATATTTCTTACTGTCATGTTTCTTTTCTCTGAAATACAATGACACCCCTTTTGCTTTTTTGGAGCTCATTCTTTGAAGAAAGCCAGACCAGAATACTGTCTGTTTAAACTTGAACATAATTCCAAAACAAGTGGAACATAATTCTTAAACAAGTGCTGATGATGTCCAGTCAGCTTCTGAAGACCACATATCATAACATTTTTCAAATATGTTGGAAATAATAAAAAACAATAAATTGAAGAGACTATTGATTACAGAATAAACAGATTACTTAATAGACACCACCCTTTTTGCTGCTTTGTGTCGACATTATATTAACACCTCATTTATTTATTGTTCTGTCTTTCGATTTTCTTGTAGACATCTCTCCTTCTCATACAGGAAAAAACTTTTGTATGTGTAACATGAAGTGTGCAGTGTTTAGGAATATTAGCTATGTGGCAGACAAAGCCATGTTCATTTAGAAAATGCCCTTGAATATCTACCATGATCTATTGATTGCCATTTGTTCTGGTGCTGGCAGAACAGGTATTTGAAGCCAGTACACAAAACACTTATTTTCAAGTCGATGTGTGAAGCAACAAATCCTAAAAGTCTATCTAAAGCTCTAAATTTACAGGGTACATTACTTGCCAGTAGATCTGGCTAGCTTGGGAAAGAACCTAGACATTCTCTGAGTTTCACCAGTACCATCTCATGAGCAGATATCTTGTTTAGTAATTCACTAAACCTAGCAGCCACTGGCCTGTTAATCCTAGAGAGAAGCCTCCTGGGGTTCAAATAAGCCATGAATGCTTTTACTGTCTTTCACACTAGATGAGTGAATATCTTGATTCTTCAGTTTCTATCTGTGTCAATTAGGCTCAAAGCTGGATAGGAGTATTTCTTTTGTAGAAAACTAAAATTTTCTTGCTTATTATTAAGTTTTGGAGAAGTACCTGTGGGTCTAAAAGAGTTCTCTTACTTTCATTCTAGTTCAATTTTGTTGGGAAATTGCTTGGACCAAGAGGAAACTCTTTAAAGAGGTTACAAGAAGAAACAGGTGCAAAAATGTCCATCCTGGGAAAAGGATCCATGAGGGATAAAGCTAAGGTACTGTGTCTGGATTCTGGTTGCAATTAGTGTTGAAACATATGTTGCATATGTTGTTTTAGGTGTTACACTTAGATTGCCTGTCTGTTTATAATGACTCAATTAAAAGGCTGTAATAGTCTCTTGACTCCAAGGCTAGTTTGTTTTTTTCAAGTTACATCATTTGCTTAAATATACGTTTTTTCTTGCTGTGTCAACCTTGCTTAGACCTTTATAGTTGCTATAGTACCACTGTTATTTAAATAATTCACCTAAACCAGTTTAAAGTTAATTTGTTCTGAGAGAAGTCTCTTTCTCCTGTGAATGTACAGCTCATATATATTGCTGCTTTAATACTGGTGTACAAAAATGAGTTTTCTCTTTTGTTTTCTGTTTCTTTAGAGGTTTTTTTTTATGTTGAATACTTATTCACGATATAGTTCTGGGAAAAGATAACAAAGTAGACATTATGCCTAAGTGTGTGTAAAAATGCACTATAGATAAAAAAGGGTGTTTGGAATCACAGACTGCTCAATGCCCCTAAGTAAATACTTGCAGGTAAGTGTTACTCCTCCTCAACCAGTCCCCACTCAGTCTATATACTGAATTTGATCTTCTGTGGTATGGAATATCCCTTTGGCCAGTTTGGGTCAGCTGTCCTGGCTGTGCTCCCTCCTGGCTTCTTGTGCAGCTTCTCACTGGCAGAGCATGCAACACTCAAAAGTTCTTGGCTTGGGGTAAGCACTACTTATCACCAACCCAAACATTAGTGTGTTACCAATATTATTATACTAAATCCCAAACACAACAGGGTACCATTTACTAGGAAGAAAATTAATCCTATCCCAGCTGAAACCAGGACATCAATGAAGCTTTCATGTATATTTGACCCAAAGAACAAGTACTGATTGCATTGTGATGTCTTCTTTTAGAATCTGTAGAACAGCAGTATTATGGTCAACACAGAAATAATGACTACTAATTTCACTGTAATTTAACTGTATATAGCCTCTAGTAATGTTGTGTATTATTCTTCTTTCCTTTCTGTCACCTCTGTCATTAATCTTAGTACCTAAAATTATGAAAGCAATAATATGCCAAAATAAAGACCAATCAGGATTTTTTTGGTTGGCGTTATTTGGTCTTGGTAATATGTATCAGCAACCACATAGACATTCTGAGGTCTGCAATTGTAATATTAAAAAAACAAACCCACAAACCAGACAAATTAGGCACACAGATTGTATTTAATTTTTCATAGTTTTCTCCATGACATTTTAGTCAGATACTTAGTAACGCCTCAGTTATAAGACAATAAATGTTGACTACACTACTGATTTTATTTCCAAGTATTGACAGGTAAAATATTTAATTACTTATGTCTAACTTCTGGAAACATTAATATTTCCCTGGATGAGAGAATGTATGTGCTGCTAAGTAGCAGTAATTTGCATCAGTGCTACATTTGATGCCCACTCACTCCATTCTCAGCCACCCACTCAGATTATTATCCCTGAGAGCATCGATTGTCTAGACAGGAGAGTGTAAATATGTTTAAACACATTAATAGCAGACTAAAACTTGTGATTTTGAGATTGGTCACTCTTTTGATCATATAATTTGATTTTTGTCTGATCATAATGAACAGTGCCAGCATGACAGACTACATTTACTCATGATTATGTCAGCAAAATTCGGGGTATTTTCTTTTCCTCTTCAAAAAGTGTTTGGTCCTTAAGAATAATCTGAAATTGAGTATGAGCTTCAGGGAAACTAATTCATATAAAACTGGTGTAAAAGATGAAGTTCTAGGGTAAACTGGCATTAAATATAGCAGTCATGGAAGCAATTTCTGTAGGGAAAGACTCATAGGCGATTTATCTTAATCTAATTTAGACATTACTGACTCAAAAGAAAACAAAATCTCTGTGCAATTACAGTGAGAGGTAGGGATTTTGTGATCTGTGTACATCACTGTTACCAGTTCCTAGCAAAAGAGTGTGAGAATGATCATGGGATGGGTAAGAGTTACAATTAGCGTTTCAGAGAGGCTATTCTAGTTGAGATACTGTGAGCATAAATAATAGTGTGAATTGCTACATTGCTAAGGAAAATACAACTTGCTCTGGTTATAATAGGTTTCTTGTCAAAAAACAAGTGCATTAGTATCATTTACACAGTACTTTTTTACTGATTTAAATACAAATTACCAAAGTCTGGAGGCTTTTTGTGGGTTTTTTGAACCATAAAAGAAATCAGTTTATGCATATTGGCTGGTAGATCATTGTTTTGTAGGAGTATTCAAGAAAAATCTATGTAATTTCTCTCTGGAAACTAGAATTTCCTTAAAGCTGTCTATATTAAGCCATGAGCCATAGCAGTCCCTAGACAGACTGCAGGCACAGGTGCTTTTCACCTCCAGTCTGGTGCAGCTGGATGCTGAGTTGCATCAGAGAAGCAGAAACAGAATTTCTGCTGAAAAGTGCTAAATACATTTATGCCCTAGATCCCTAGATACTTAAATCTTCAAAAAGAACTGCTGTGCTGATTTGAGTTTTTTTAGTGCCAAAATGACAATAAGGAAGTTCTTGGCTCAACAGTGAAGCACTCTGGCTATAGTCAGTAATTTTGGTCCTACAAGGGGGCAGTTTTCATGTCTGGGAAGTGGATTATATCAACGGAGGTATGTCTGTTCTTCAGAATTCCCTTATCTTTTTTTAAAAAGGCCTGTGGGTAAATTTTAGAGACTAAAGATTTTAGGCTGTTTCCTTCCAGAGCAATAGGGAGCACTTGTTAAGAGTGACTTGTGATTTCTGAGTATCTGCTGTGCCTACAGTGTGGAAACAGGATAGATTAATTTGAAAAGACAGTGCAACTTACCTAAAATGTGTATTATGAGCAGCTCCGTTTGTGCACAAAATACCACAGAGCTAATGTATCGCACAGAAAGTTGTGTTACAAGTTACTAAAGAGATGCCCAAGTAAAACTGCATCAGTAGTTTTAGGGTTTTTTTAAGAACATTTTTATTTTAAAAGTGACCTAAAGAAGTCTGTTTGGAAGAGCAGAATAACCTAAGAGGAATAGAATGTTTTAATTCTGCTTTAATAATATATTAAGTGTTAGACAAAGAAAGATTTCTGGTTACTTTTCATTTTCTTAAAAAAACAAAAAATAGATTTTTAACCTGAATATCTTTTCCTGAAAACTCATTGTTCATCACCTGCAAGACAATTAGAAGACTGATCAGTTATTTAATCTAAAGGGGGTCTTGTCTTTGCTCCAAACGTAATTTTGAATCACATTTTACTTACATAGAGCAGGATTTGGAAATTAGTGTCCTGATAACAAGGTCATATATTAGATGAAAAAAAGCTAAAACATTGATTTTTATAGTAGCACATGAGGTGTCAGACACTCATGAAGGAAAACCTAAGTCACAGTGTTTGCATTAAATCTTCTGCATACTGATATATAATTGCCATTCCAATTTAAAACTTTTTTACCTCAAGAAATCCTGTTAATACCACTTCCTGTTTTACACACTATCAGTTTATTACCCATTTCTCTCATCGTTTAAACTTCCACTTACTTATGTCTTTTGTCATGGCTATTGAAAAGATTTTGTTATTAAAGATTCATGTTGTCTTCCTATAAAACATAGAAAATTAGAGAACAAACTTGCACTGCAGCTTTGAAAAATCACATAAACTACCTCTGTGACTCAGTGTTTTATCAGTACTTTTAAGTGCTGCCTTTTTCAAGTTTCAGTTTTTATTAAAACTAGTTCTTAAGGAAATTGGAGATAATTGCAGTCAAACTACATGCCTTTCGTTAATCTGGGTTAAGTGCTTTCCAAAGAAGGTCTTCTGTCACTGCATAACAGCTTTTCCCGTTAAACAGAATTTGTTTCATTACCTTTTCTTCATATGAAACACCTAGCATTAAGAATTTGTTTGCAGCTAAAAGGATCTGAAATCAGCACACAGAGAAACTACTGAGGTGCAATTATTAACATATTGGCTTTAGGGTGATTTTTAACAGCTGTGTTACGTGAGTGCCTTAAAAAAGATCTTGAAAATATAGAATAGTTGCAATGTGCACTGGTCTCTTCCATGCGAATTCTAAGTGCTGTGATGTCAGTCCTGCAACCTTTAAATAAATGTTTCATTATCTTACAGGATTAAGTCCATATATAATGTGAAAAATGCCCAATAAGTTTTTGGTTTGAAGCACAATGTGTTTTTTCATTAGGTCATGACTACCATGGGTATAGTGTTCTAATTGTGGGAAGGTAGTTCTCTGATAGGACTCTCTTGACTTCATTGTTTTTTCAAAAAAGTTATAAATTACTGCTCAGACAGCCTAAAAGAGAAGAAAAAAGTTGCAGGTTTTGTCCGTAGTATGGTGTGGTCCAAGCATTGTATTATATTTTTCCCAATGCTATTGCTTCACTGAAATGTGAGATCAAAAGTGTTGTCCTTATTGTCCAGAGTTTTAAAAGCTTTTGAGTGTCACTTCTTGTCAGAATGTTTAAGGTCATGCAGTTAAGGTACATATGCAATTTTTTTTTCCAAGTGGGAGTGGCAGCAATCTCAACAAGAATTAGAAGTTACAAAAGACTCTAGAAAATTAAAAAAAAACAGCCAAAAAATCACCGAGTAGTCTGTTGCACCAGATTTTACACTGGTGCCACTCCATCTGTGCCTGTAAGGTTTCTTGCTCTGGCTTATGGCAATGGTAGTTTAGGTCCGTGTGTTGTCAGGAGTTTCAGCTCTTATAGTTGGAGATAGAAATTTGGGAATTCCTATAAAAACTCTATTTTAGTTTTTTAAAAAATAACCTTTAGATTTACTCCCAACCTGGTGGGAAATTTGATTTGGACTTTATGCAAAATCTCTGAAATGTTAATTTCTTAGGCAAGGTATTTCTGTTCCCTTGAAGTACTCCTTTGTCATCTGCAACTGGAAAATCTCTAAGGGAAAGATAGAGCAATGTGTGGCATTTAATTTAGAAAACTAGC